GACAGGAACTACCTAAATAATCATTCTCAAGGCAATACATCTATAAATTTTACTAATAAATAAAAAACAGAGTAGGCAATGATTGGTAAAAAATTTTTCAAGTGATTTTAACTTTGGAGACAAATGGCATTGGGTAAAGAAAATACATTAAAATAATTTTTGCCATTATGGAGTAAATTAAACTTTGCATGCATTTTGAAAAAAAAAATTATTGAAAAATAAGTCATTGAGAATCTTGAAAAACACAAAGTTGACAGTCTCTCAGTGATTTCCCTATGAAAGATTTTATTACCATTTACAGAAAGCAGCAAATTGAAATCACTGAAGACAAAAGGCTTCACTTCTATAGTCTACTTATGGGGAAATAAATATGGATTGCAATACTTTTGCTTTTAAGAAATGATGCTAACCCCCTTACAAGATATGTGACACTAGTGATAGAAAAATTACTAGGGGATATTAAAGCAACAAAGTTTACTTAAGAGTTTTTAAACTCCTATACAAATAATAAGAAAATGCCTTTGTCTATGTTATATTTTGTAACTCTGTCTCATTTTGGGATAGGTAACTCTATGACATTTTGCAACATTGGAGATTATTAAATTACCAGTTTTTTCCAAAATCATCTCCTTTTCATGCCTATGTGAAAAGCTGTTTAGAAAAATATTAAGAGAATGTAGGAATCTTATGAAATATATACAACTGCTATAACAAACATGATGTTGATTTTTTTTATTATTATAAAAGTAGACTGTGGACCATATATTCTGTGTTGATGAAATCAGTCCCATTATAACATAATAGCATATATTATTTTCTATTATTAGAGGTTTTTCAACATTTTTCTATGAATATCTAGAGATTCATTAGAACACCAGTTGTTTTAAAAGACATTAATTTAAAAGCTTATCCTAATGAATTTTTAAATAGACTATAGTCTACTTTTAAATATGGAAAAGAAAAATTGAGTAACCGTAATTAGAAAGCAAAGAACCATGTTGTATTAATAAATGAAGAAGAATCATATCAAATTAAAATATCAACTTTAAATGAAAGTACATAGTCCTAATGAGTTACTAGAGTATACTCATATAGTTTAAAGATTTCTATATTACGAATTTTTAATTAATTGGACCAGGAGTAATTAGTGTGGTCAGAAGTAGAAAGCTCCCTTCACCTCATTTGCCAGAGTAGTCTAGTGAAGCCCTTCCCAAGGAGAGAACTGCATGGAAGAAGGCTGTAATGCAGAGGTAAGAATCATGCCACTCTGCCCTTTGTGAAGCCCACCTGTTGCTAATGAACCCTCCTGAGATCCAACTGGATGTGATCTATACAGTGAAAAATTCAGGAAGGAAGATAATAAGATGAAACTCAGGATAAATTTTTTAGTATACGGTGCAAATAGAGTCATCTATTCAAAATAATGCATGTGAAATATATTGAATAATGTCCTTAAGTTTTGACCTACTATTTTATGAATAAAAAAATGAAGAAATTTAAAAAGGGAAGTGGATGTTAAAATGATACCTAAAATCAACAATATGGCAATGTGTGCAGCAATGTACTATCTATATCTCTATTTTTGGCAAACGCTCTAAGCCAAGAATGATGACAATAAAACGATCATCTTAAATTGTGAATTCAAATTAGAAGCAAAAAAATTGGCTCGACTTAAAAAAAGGCAAAAGTTCTGAATTCGTTTAATTGTTTAACATAAAAATAGAATTAGTTCGTCAATTGGGTTGGTTGAGAAAATGCTTCTGAGACTAAACTCAAGGACTCTAGTCTGATGAGGGTGGGGTTGCTCTCCTGTGCTTGACAGCTATCCATAAATCAGAATCGGTCTAGCTTTCTTGGAAATGCTTAACAGTAGTTTTAGGTGGAGAC